GGTTAATTGTTATTCTTTGAAATGAAGTAACTTCTGTTTGAGTTGTTCCCTTTTTTGCTATTTGAAAGGCTTCATTTTCTCATCCGTTGTTTGAAGTAGGAGCTCTCTGTCACACTTTGAATGGTTGCATGTCTGCCGTCACCTGCGCGTGCAGAACGGGAATGCTTCTGTGTGTGTCCGTAGGAAAATGCATCAGTAGTTTAGGGCTGGTTTTGTGCTTCGCCCTTTAATGCTTCCCAGGGCGCCAGCAGGTGAAGGATATGTGTTTTTTGAGACTAACTCTGCACAGGATTTGAGATAACTGAGAGGCAAGCAAGGAGATGAACCAGTGTCAGATAACATTTTGAAAAAGGTGGTCCCATGCATTTCTTTTGATACACATTTTGTTATGCACCAAAACCTGAACATGAGGAAACACTTCTTCCCTGTGAGGGTGACAGAGCACTGAACAGGCTGCCCAGGGAGGGGGTGGAGTCTCCTTCTCTGGAGACTTTCAGAAGCCACCTGGACTTGTTCCTGTGTGATCTACTCTGGGTGATCCTGCTCTGGCAGGGGGTTGGACTAGATGATCTCTAGGGGTCCCTTCCACCCCCTTCCACTCTGTGAATCCGTGAAAATTCAGTTTTGTACTGCATGTGTCCATTAAAAATGGAAATCACACCTACAGGAATTCTCGCTTCCTAAAGTAATTAGTGGTACTGGTTTGCAGTCTGCTTCAGTTGCATTAAACTACGTGCTTTTCCCTGACAGGTACCCAAATATGCAGGTTAAAAATATGCAGGTTAAAAAAAAATAACATAAAGAAAAATGCAGTTATATTGTGATTTATAGCTGTTTCTGAAACTGGCTAGTTTAATTATTAGTTGGCCTTCACATTTGTCAGAACTTTGGAAATTCACAAGTTGTCTGAAAGGATGAAATTAATCATGCATTTCAGACTTCTGGAGAGGAGTTTAAATAATGCTTTTGTTTCTAACTGTGAACTCCATCACAGCCAGAGTTTTACTGAAAACTGATTTTAATTAAAACATCAGCGTTTTGTGCAAATGTATTCACGTGGAAATTTCATGGAAATAGAATTTTAAGGTCAAAACTTGAATGAGATTAGAATTGAACTTTCTGAGTGACTGCTTGGTTGAAGAATATGCTCATTAAACTAAACATGCACAGGAAAAAGAACACCAAAGCATTCCTGAACGTTGTCAAAAAACACGGAATGGGGAAGTCATTACTATAATCAGCAAGTGGATCTGGAAAACTCCCTGCGGTTTGATGGAATGTTCCAGGTTTTACGCACCTCTGATGGCTCCTTTTGGTAGAAGTGGCTGTCAAACTCTAGCGTTTCTACCAGAGTGGCTGTGCCTCTCCCAGACCTTCAAGCACCCTTGTCATCTTTTTTCTTGGTAGATGGAATTACCATGTGGATTGACAAACCTTGGCAACACTTGCTACATGAACGCGACGGTTCAGTGTATCCGCTCGGTGCCAGAAGTGAAAGAGGCCCTTAAAAGGTAGGATTGGGTACAGGAATACCGTGACTCAAATGTTTTCTTTAGCGTATGAAATAGGTATTTTGTGGAATGGTCATCTTCGTGCTGGTGTGGATTGTCCTAACAATCTGTTATTCTCTAAACCCATTCAAGGTTAACACAATGTTCGATTAAAGTTTGTCCTACGGCTGCGTTTGTCTCTGTTTAAAGAACCTCAGACTATATTTGTTGGAACTGGCTTTTAGTGGAGAGAACATGTTTTCCTTAGCTAAAAAATAATTCCTATCAAGACTTGCTGAAAATGCATAAACAAGCTACTGAACTCCTAACCCTGTTTTGTGGCGTTAGCTTCTACGGTCTTGTTCTCTGTAAAAGGAGTCCTGTCCCGTAAACGCTGGTTTATTTAAGTACTTAAAAGTTGTTCCTCATTCTGTTGGCAGGTGAACCTTAATTATTTAGCACTGAGAACAATTTTCGAAGCACAGAAACTCTGTGTTAAAGCTTTTTCTTGTTTTTCAGTGATGTCATTTTAGGGAAGTCCGTTTATTTCCACATGAAGGACGGCGAGTTACTGCATTGAATCAGTGTATTTGACAAACTTAACATACCGACCGTCATAATGTGACCTAGAAAACAGGCTGACTGCGATACAAGATGTGGCCTTGTTGTCTGTGGGAAGTCAGATTCAGAGGCAGCCGCTCTGGTTCCCCCTGGAGTTTTAGCCTTTATTGGGTTTTCCCTGCTCGACGGCAGTGTGGAAGGGTGTGTGGCAGAGAGGGGCGAAAGGACTCGCATGGCAAAGCTTAGGTTTACAGCTTTGTTAATCTCTGCAAGGGTACTGCCTGTTTTGTAGCATGTCAGCGGGAAAGTGCCCTGCTCATTGTGTAACAGCAGGCAGGATGCAAGTTCAGTTTTGTCCAGAGAAGCTGTGGATGCCCCATCCCTGGAAGTGTTCAAGGCCAGGCTGGATGAGGCTTTGAGCAACCTGGTCTAGTGGAAGGTGTCCCTGCCCATGGCAGGGGGGTTGGAACTGGATGGTCTTTCAGGTCCCTTCCAACCCAAACCGTTCTGTGGTTCTGTGCTGCAGGCTGAGGTTAAGAAATGCACGAGACCCTCCTTTCACCTGAGGGCTCATGTACTTCTGAGGAGGCCACCTCTTCCCCGTGCAGCTGGTAAATGAAGACATCGTTCCAAGAGGAGTGCTAAGTTCTAGTCATATGGGTGGGACTCCCATACTTTTCCAGAATGGAAAATACCTCCCCAGCTTTTTTTTGTCTCACCTCCTACTGGTTTGCTTCTGCTGAGGAGGGAGGAAGCAAGCCTGCCCTCCGCCTGTGTGCGGTTTGTCTGCCGTCTGTCCTCAAATGTGGCTTTGTCCATGTATCTGAAGACGCTGTGGCAAACTTTTCGGAAGGGGGTAGCTTCTTTTCAGACTTTTTCTCAGTTTCTTTAAACATAGATTTGAGTCTTTGAGGCAAATGGATTAGGGAAACAGCAGCGACGTATCCACGCTTCTCAGTCTGCATTTATTTACTGTCTCAAGGATGCCAGTTTTCCTTTGCTTCCATGCAGTGCTTGCAAAATAGCTGAGACTGAGGGGAGCGTGAGTAGATCTTACCTTCAGCGACTTCTGTTCCGGTGATTGATTTCTTTCGATACACTGAAATAAACCTAGCTGCTGCCTGCCTCCTGAGTTAAAAACCAACTGCTCCTCTTGATTCTGTTTTGTTGCACACAAACTGTTGTTCTTCTCTTTTAGGTATGGTGGTGCCTTAAGAGCTTCGGGAGAAATGGCCTCTGCTCAGTACATTACTGCAGGTTGGTGTTTAGAGCAGAACATTTGGTGTGTGATTTCCTGCTGACTGCAGATGAAAATTGCAGCTAGAGCTCTGGGTATTTTTCTTTAGCACGTATGCCTGAGGAATCTCAGATCTGCTAGCATGGGAGGGCTCATTTTGCTCTGTGTTAATATCTTTAAAGGTTATTCTGACCGTGGCTGCAAAGCGTGTGTCTCTGCGTATTACCTAGCTGCGTGCTAGGAAAAATATATTCAGGTGTCACCTAGGCTTAGATAGAAACCATTCCCATCTCTGAGCTGTTTATCGTGTAGGCCTAAAGGAATTGGAACTTCCTAAAGCAGACTCCATCCACCTGTTGGTTTGAGCCCAATTGTCTTAGCGTGCAGTTCTTCGTTTCGCTGAATGGCAGGCTAACGCTATGCTTCTAGAACACGTGTTTCATATCTTTTAATGTGGTTTATTGGCTGAGCATTATTGTTAAGGTGGTGGCTGATGCTTTATCAGTGATCTCAGCCTTTACCCTAAAGATCCAGATTTCATACCTGGAATAGAACGTCATGTCTCCATGGGGCAAGTCACTCTTTGTTGTGGTGATCTGGGAGCTCATGACGGCCCGGTATCTCTGTAGTCTAGTTAGACCCCTTACACGTGAACAAGGGTGCTACTTGTCCGCTTTTTCTTTTTTTACTCTATTTCACTGCCCCACTAAGATGCTGGGCCAGGACACTGGGATTTCTACCAGTCCATTTAAGGAAAACCAAAACAATGTAAGGAAGGAAAGGTGTCCAGTTTGTGGGTATGCCTGCTGATGGAGTTTTGGGGTGGTAAGTTCAATGGTTACGCTGTACAACCATGCCTGCCCCTCCCCTTTTCACTGCCTTTACTTCGTGTCCCTTGTTTTCTTTTCAAGGTGACAGTTCTGCTTTTTAGGAACCTGAATAGTTTAACTTGTAGTTAATTCTTCGGCGCTGAGCTGGTCAAGAACTCCTGCATGACGCTTGTGGCGTATTTTTTACTTGCTGTGTCGTATCAGTTGTCCCTCTCGCCAAGGTCAGTGAGGAGTCTCTGTAGGGAGAGGAAGCAGCTGACTGTGTTTCCTTGTAATCCCACCTCTATTCGCTGACTCGAGAGTACCGTTCACCAGCCCCTCCACTTGTAAGTCAGTGACCATGCAGACTGTTGCTTGCCTCACAGGGTGGCTGTCAGGACGAACAGGGGTCTCCAAAGTGATTTGTGGATTTAAAACGCCATAACCTGGGTCGATGAGACACGTGTGGTCATGTGTCTGGAGCGAAAAAGCAAGCCATGTGTATTGTCGTGCAGCCAGTAGCCTTCGTTGAGTTACAGACTGTCTGCATGTGTGCAAACCCATAGTCGTTTTCCTGGGCCTTAGGTTAAGCATGAGTGTTTCCTAGGTATTCTGGTTGGGAAGAAGGAAAGGTTTTCCCTAGTAGTTGTTGAAACTTAAGCCTCTCTAGAGGATCGGTTGTGAGTGCCTTCTGACTTCTCTCGTTGTAGTCCTCTTGTGAAAACATGGCCCTCAGGTGTGTTTCACGTAAAATCTTAACTGCTCAAAAATTGTTTGAGTTGGGCTTCGGGGTGTTTTTTTTCCTGTTAACGGCCAGGAAGCAGAAGGCACTATATGCCAAACTCTCAGAATTGTCATCCTTACACTTGCAAAGTCATGTTGCAAATGAGATCTTAAGTGCATCTCTTATGCCATCTGGAAAATTTGATCCTGCTTTGGAAAGATAAAATTGGAGGCTGTGAAATGATCAGTCTTTAAATGGTGCTGCTGTTTTACTGTTCTTTTTTTAAACTTCCTGCCGTGTTTGAGTTGTTTTTCCACTTCTCAAAGCATTCACTTACTTTTTCTTCAAGCTCTTAGAGACTTGTTTGATTCCATGGATAAAACTTCCTCCAGTATCCCACCTATCATTCTCCTGCAGTTTTTACATATGGCCTTCCCACAGTTTGCAGAGAAAGGTGACCAAGGCCAGTACCTTCAACAGGTAAAAACCCGATTATTAGCTAATTGTTTGATGATGCTGTCATATGTTGGAAGTTGGGAACAAGCATATTTTAAGACTTTCCTTCTGTGAACATAATTTGTCTGAGGGAAGTGTTGTCTTTTGTGTCGAGTAGCTGAATGTAATACCAAGCGCTAGAGCTGAAAACGTGTGGTGGAGTAGGGAGAAGTTCTTAGTTACGGGATCCTTACGTTTGGGTTAGTAGCGTAAGAGTCGATGAGTTGAATATTACTGAATGATAGTGCTAATTACTGTCAGATTGAAAGCTCCACTCCCTTCCTAGGATGCCAATGAGTGCTGGGTGCAGATGATGAGGGTGCTGCAGCAGAAGCTGGAAGGCATAGAAGGTGATACCGTTATGGAGGTAATTGTAGTCTTACTCTAACCAGAGTCAGGATTTATAACACTGTGCTTGTGACTGGCCTGTGCATTCCTTAACGCCTCTCTATAGCCCGGTAAGTGGAACTGCTTTCTGACACGTCTCATCAGCACAGCGCTGCCTGTGCCACACCAGCTACGCCACGGGGCCTGCCACGGGAACGCTTTCCCTCTAGGCTTTGTCAGGCATGTGTTGGGCCAGGGCAGTGGCGACCGCGAGTATCCAGCAGCTGGCCCGGATAACCTGTGAATCTGCAACGTAGGGACAGACT